TAATAAAATTGAAAGAAAAAAAGAAAAAACGAAAACTAACTAAAAAGAAAAATAAATTGTTCAAATAATATTTGAAATTCAATTAATTATCAATGAAATAACATATTATGTTTCACATAATTTCATGTTTGATGTCGCTTTCAACTGCAAATTGCTTCGTAATTATTCATTGATTGATAAACTTTTCAAAACGAATATTCGCAGTTTTATTTAAATATACTTGGCCACTCAATTCGTATTTCATTTTTTATTTCTCTATTTGTCAGTTTAAAAAAAGAAATTCATTCTGAAATGAATAAAAAAATTCAAACTGTCTGCATTGAAGATAAAAATATACTGATTTTTTAATATCAAATAAGTATATAAGAGATTATTTTATATTTCAATTTTTGCTTTTAAGCAATATAACTTCCAATATAATAAAAAAAAAATACAGCGATTTTTTTAATATCGAAGTAAAGCATTTTTATAAATATTCCAATATATTTTATTAATAATAAAAACAAAGTAATAACATTGCAAGTCAATAAAAAAAAAATGAGAGAATGAAAAAAAATTGTATTTGTAAATTATTATTAATACTAGCGAAACTAGAAAATTTTAATATATAATATAGAAAATAACTAGAAAATATTTTTTTAAATATATTAAAAAAATTAAAAAACTAATCTCTTATTAAAATTAATTAATATAAAAGTTAAAAATTAAAGTGATATTGAGAATGAAAAAAAAAATTGATATCAATTTGCTTACGTATTTACATAATTTGAAAAAGTGCCTATAACATGTATATATCAATCTTTATTGATGAGAAACAAGAGGAAATGACAGCTGAAAACTTATATAGTGGAAAGAAAACAAGGGGACTTTTACTTTAGATATTTGTTTTCATTTCCTGTATCCCTGTGTCGTGATACATTAGGGCGAAAAGTTTCCAATATCAGCTTGAATTCTCTAGAGTTTGTTCCCTCATGAACTCAATGTCGTTAAATTTTAAGATTGATTCAGAACTTTCGTACTATATATATATATAAAGTCTCCAAATCTCAAACTCAATTCTTTCCTCTAATTTCTTTTTCAGTACAAATATTTTTTTTTCCAATAAAAATAAATTTTTATCAATTATTTATTATGTAAAATATTTTGCAACCATTTTTATTTGAAATTCCAAAAATAATTTTTTTAAATTTTGTGTTCCCTTTGTGAAATTTGAAACTCTTTGCAATTTATTTTCCGAAAACTTGAAAGCTATAAAATTTCAATTAAACGTTCGTTGTCTAATGTTTAATTCTCCATTTGTGAAATTCTACTCCAAAAAGGGATGAATTAAGTCTTTGAAAGGAATGTAATTTTTATTTTTTTAATTTATCGACAGAGAGCTTCTATAATACAAAGGATCGCATCATTAAATACTATTAATTTATTGATGAGGATTTTCCAAAGTATCCAATTACAAATGGCTTAGAGAATAGATGTCTTCTATCGGGTGGGAAATCGTATCTTTTGTTAACAAAATCCGTGCTGAAGTTACACTCTCCTCATTTTCTGATTTTAGATAAATCCTATACATATGCGATAAGACATGGGAATTTAATGAATCTTGACTTTCATGATTTTATCATCGTTAAAATATTTTCTCTTCCTTGTAATATAATAAAACATACAAATATAATTTATTAATTAATTTATATATAATTAAATCCCTATTACAAATAATTTAAAAAATTTCTCAAATAAAAGTTACAATAAAAATATTGTTTTTTTTCTTCCTTTTTCACTTTTTTTTTTATCTCGTGGATGCGAATGGATAACTATGTAGGTAATAGATGGTTTCAAGTGATTGCATATTTCAAGCATTTTATGCATTACTTTTCAACTTCATATATATATATATATTTAAAAAGGAGCGATGCATGACTTTTTTGAATGCGGGCCAATATTAAAGAAATGCATCACGTATCAAATATATTCTTAAGCATGGACATTGAATACTGAATATCCTTTCATGCAAACTCGTCGAATGGACTATTATTGTGCAAAGAAGTAGATACTTCAATATAGATCGTCGATCAAATTTTTCATTCCCATAATCCGAAAAAAGAATTTACTACGCAAATTTTAACAATCCAATATTTATAGTTTCAGGGTGAATTATTTTTTTTTTTCCAAGAAAAACACTTCAAAACCAAATAATATGGATGAAATTATTTTTTATATTAACTTATTATTTTTAATCGAAGAATAAAATCAACAAAAAAGAAAATGAATTTTTCAACATTAACTCTTAAATTTTCGACAAATATACTAAAAGCAAAAACATTTATCATGAATTTTTTCTTCAAACATTTAAATTGATTTCATCGGTATATACGATTTAAGCTCAAATCCATTAACTACTTAACTTTTTTTTTATACTAGTTTCATTTTTTTTATCTCACATTTGAAAAAAAAAAATTTCTATCTTTCAAATGAAGAAAAAGAAGAAAAAATTGAATCATATATAACGTTTAAAATATTTTCACTCGACTCTTTTTAATAAAAATATTTTCATAAAGCAACAAACAATATATATATATGTAGTGACACAGGGGACATGTAGACAATTATAATTCGCTTCCTTAAATTCTCGTAACATGAAATATGTATACATGCTTAGAATATGAACAAACTTTATACATTTTAACTATCTCGGACAGCCGCCGGAAAAGAACTTGAATATAAAATGCACAACAGGTATGCGCTTGCACTTATTGTCGTTAGGAAAAATGATAAATTTTTACACCTGCAACATCTCTCAACAAGAAACTCACGTTACTCATTTTTTTGCAATTGAATTGAATTTCTTTTTTTTTCAACACAAAATGATCTTAATGAATTTTTTTTTAAATTATAAAAATTGCACTCGTTAATATAAATTTTTTTAAAATAAAAATAAAAAAATGAAAACTTATTTCTATTTGTAGAAATAATTATTATTATAAGAACATTTTTTTTTTCCCTAAATATTTAGTTTCCAGAAAAATGATAAATTGAACCATTTTTGTTTTCGACAAATTACGTCTAACTAAAGAAATTCATTAATCATGGTTATTTTTAATTTGAACAAAAAATACTCTTTTTTTATCTCTATATTATGGCCTAACATTTTACAAGACAATTATTGTTGACAATTAAACCGTATTTTTCTCTACAAAATTAATTTTAAAAAATCAGAAATAAACCAATTTTTTTTTTTATTTGTAAAAATGTAATATAAGTAAAAAAAAAAAAGGTTATTTATATTTCAAAAGAGTAATATTAACAATTCAAGCCCTAACATCTTTTTCCGCTTTTCCCAAGGCTCATCAATTTCAATGTGCGTGCAAACTTTATATACACACCCATCATCCATGTCCTATTTTATCTTTTTTTTCTTAAAAGCAAATTTTAAGAAAACATTTTTTTTATATATATAAAAATGACGAATTTTAAAAAAGCTTGAAAGACAAAAAATAAAAAAAAATTGAATTTCTTTTTTTGTATTTTTTTTTTAAACATTTAAAAAGAAATATTTGCGAAAAAAATATATTTCGCTATTTTTTTTTCTTTTTTTTTTTTTATTTTAAAATTCTTTCTTTTTTATTTCTACTAATTAAGTTCTTACTGCAGGATGTGAGCTTTGTACTATAGCCTAATCCCTTCCGTAAAATGCAGGGCAAAAATGATAAACTGCTGTGGACTTTTCGAGGTACGCATTCCTCTTTTAGTGTGCATAATGAAGATGGATTAAACCGCACTGAAAATTTTCTAAAGGCATATTAAAACACTGGAGAGACTGGAAAATTTAATGCGAACAATATGATGCGCCTGAGAAGAATCCAGTGAAAATGACCAACAAGTTAAATTGTGAAAAAGCTTTTAATCAGAGCAATTTAAGGGTCGAGTGAAATTCAATTCCTTTCTGCAATAATATATATATATATATATAGGAGAGCTAAAAAGAAAATTTTCTATTAAAAAAAATAAAGAACTATTTTTTCTATTTAAAAAAAACTATTAAAAATTATTTATAAATGAAAATACAAAAATAAATAAAAATAAGTTTTTTTTTTAAATAAATGATAAAAAAATTTGCTAAATATAAATAATATAATAATTTTACAGTAAAAAATTTGTATAAAACGAGGATAAATTTTTTTGTCAGTTAAATGAATATTTGTATGAAAAACGAAAAGTTTTAGTTTGAAATACGAGTTTTGAGAGCGCGAGACCGACAAAGAAAAAAGTTTTACTTCCTCTTTTCTTTTTTTTTTTTGATGAGCATTTAAAAAGTTGACATAAATATAATATAACAAATATTTAGCGAGAGGCGGCAATCATGCAAAACAATGTAAAGACTTAATAAAACCTAAAGTCCAAAGGAATTAAACTTGCAGAAACAAAAGCTCTTTCCCTAAGTTTAAGAGCCTCTCAACTGCGCTCTTAGTACCTATTCAACTTGCAGATTCCTTTATTCATTTAATGAAAAGCTAAATGAAGTAAATAAATACAATATATTCTTCTTGATACTGATATATTTTTCATTTTAATAACCATAACGAAAACCATTCTAAACAAGACAATAGAATTTTTTTTTACTGAATCAAAAAAAAAATATTCTCAATAAAAGAAAAATCATTTTTCATGCAAATTTTTCCCTATTCCCTAAAGTATTATAGCTATCGAACAATAAAATATATTTTAAAATAATATTTTTTTAACCCAATAATATAAATAAAATATTAAATTTATAAAAATAGAGCTTTTTTCGAAAATTCAATATAACAGCTTTATGTTTATTTTTATTGCTCATCTTTTGTTGTAATATTTATTCAAATAACATAAAAGCATTTTTTTTTTTTGTTATGTCTAGGATATGTTTTGTTCCTCACAATTGATAAAAAAAAAGAAAAAAAAAAAAAAAAATTAGCAAAAAGCGCAATTTCAACAAAAATACATTCTGGGGGTTTATTTCAAAATGCATTGAAACGAGTAAAATCTGTCCGAAAAATCTGATTTTCAGGTTTCGTTGGCTGTGAATAAGAGAGAGAGTTGCGCGGTAGCAATGTACGATCATTCACTATTGTGGGTGGGAAAAGAGAGAGAGGGGTTGATCCATTTTCCAGAACGCTATAGTATTATGGAGACGCGATGCCTCAGTGGCTTCTCTGACACTGAGTCGCGCGCGTTGTAATACTCAGGAAAGGGACGCTAAAATCATGGCGCGTAAAAAAATTGTCAAAATATTCATTTTAATGCAACACTAATCAATTCAAAAAATTCGGTAAATTTTAACCTAAAATTTAAAAATTTATTTTACAATTCATAAAAAAAAATAATTTCTCATTTCATCTCAATTTTAAAAATTACAAGTTTCTTTTTAAATATTTTTTTTATATTTCGTAATAATTTTTGCCATTTTATATTTAAATAGAAATTCTTTTACAGTATATAAAATAGAATTTCTTGTTAACAAAAAAAAATGAAACCCAAAAATAATTTCGTTAAAGAAAATAATAAATTCGAGAGACTCAAAAAAAGTTTTCTAAACTTTTTTTTAAAAGAAAAAGAACCGTGAAAATTGTAAGAAACATGTCAAATAATTAATTTTCCATTGGCATTATAAAAAAAAAAGTCTGATCGACTTTATGAAAATAAAAAGAATTGAAAAGTCTGTAAAAATAAATACAGGCACCTCGCGCAACAGCTGCTTAGGAAAGCAAACTAAATTTATGATTCGAAAGGCGCTCGTAAATCAGTCCAAGCTGTTATACTGTGAACGACATTTTTTCTAGTATAAACTTCGAAACCAGTATACTTTACAAAAAAAACATTAATCGAAATACTCCAAAAAAACTATCGTTAAAATTAAAAACAAATTTTCCTAATCTCTTTTTTAAAAAAAACAAGTTTTTTACCATTATTTTTCGGAAATCAACAATTTAGAAAATTGTAAATACTTTCCTCTAAAGAATTTTGAAAAAAATTTCAAAATTAATTACCGCGTGATAACTGGGACATTAAAAAAAAAATTCTCCCCTAGTTAATCAAAATTTCAAGAAGACAACGAATATTGAACCTTATTATTTTAATAAATAATTCCCCTGATAATATATAGAATTCTGTATATTGAGCTTATTGGAAATATGAATAATATATATTGATATAAAATTAAATATATGACTTTTTTTTTATATCTCACACAAAAGCACACATATCAGAGATTCGATGGAAATGACAGTTTTTCTCTCATAACTATTTTTAAACAATTTAATTTATTGAAAATTACTTGCTCTCATTTTATGTGCCCTTCTTTTTTGTTTTATTATATACTTATATTATTAATTTTAAACTTTATTTTCAGTTTGACAGCTTTATATATTATATTTGCAAAAAAAAAAAAAAATCACAGATATGAGGGAAATTAATTAAATACAGATAGGAAATCGCGTGCAAGAAACAATGTTAAATTGTCTTCTCGGAAATAAATGTCATGAGGCGTCAAGTAATAATGGAAAAAAAGTTCCCCAATTCAATGTAAATCGAGGGGTGTAATCGATATTCAATAGATGCCTAAATCGAAGGATGAATATTCGGTTTTCAACCAAAATGAATATTTTATAACCTACACTGTCCTATTCAATAATCCATTCTGCGAATACGAAAAGCAAAAAAAAAAAAAAAAAAAAAACTTTCGCAATAATGCAAAAATTTGAATGTAAAACCTTGATATTTACAAAAGTTTTCACAGCTTCAGCGTAATTAGTATAAAGTTTTATTCAAGAAAAAAAAAATTTATTTTTAAATTATATGCTAATTCTGAATTATTTTCTTTTATAAAAACAAACTAAAAAATGGTTTCAAATCATGGAAAAGAAATATCGAGTATTTTTTATTATTTTATTGTAATAATAATAATACTTATAATTATTGTTTAATCAAAGAGATAATTAATATTCCGGTTTGTCAAAATATTCGATTACAGTCATTTTGTTTATTACTATTAAAATAACAATTCTGTGATATTAATGTATATTAATAATAAATATCAGTTGTTTAACATATCAAATATTGAGAAAGGTAAGATTATTTTTATTTTTTATTTTTACAATTAAAAACAAAAGATTAAAATTTAAAAACAATTTTTCATCATATTTAAAAAAAAAAATTATAATAAAATATGAGATTTTCATAAATTAATAATTTAATTTTCATTGAATTTTTAATTTAATTGGTTTTTTTATGTTTAAAATTAATTTTTTCCATTTATTTTAAATTAGCAAATAAAAAAAAAAGGAATATTATATTTGTTTTTTCAAAAACTCATCTCTTTTTTTTTTTATATAATCGATATATAACTTTAGCGAGGTAAAAAAGATCATTCATTTTTCTGCTTTTTTCAGCTCTCCTTTTTACGTTTTATCGGCCTAATTTATCTCTGGCTCAGTATCTTCTGACAGTTAAACCCTTCATCATGTTATAGTCGATCTCAGCCATTAAGACACGAAGATGCCTTTTACAATTACTGGTGAAAATCTGACAAAAATCTCTTTTTCACTAGATTTTGAATCAGCTCTTTTCGTTCATTTCATTTCTTATATTAGTAAATCAAATTCACATTTAATTTGCATTTTCTGAAAAAGATATTTCACTCAAAAAAAAAAATTTCTCCCTTTTCATTTGCCTCATACGCGATAAAATATTTTTTTTTACCCACTTTGCATGTATGAAAGTGCATTCGAATATTTTTTTTTTTCCCCCGTAATTGATAAATGTATTTGAAATTCGTATTTCAAATATGAAATTTAATAAAAATATTAAAAATAAATTAATAATTTAATATTTTACAAAACAATTTTAAAAAATGTAAATTTATTTCTATATTAGAAATTTGGTAATTTTTTGTTTTTGTATAAATTTATCTCTCATACAATAATTTCAAGGAAAAAATTTTTTTTTTTTGAAATACACCTTAAATATTCGTTTCTATTCGAAAAATGAAAAAAAAATTCTCGTATATATACAATGCATATAACTTCTAATTAAAGCGCAATATTGGAAAGACGATTAAGAGGGAGGGCAAGAAAAAAAATTCGTAATTTGCAAAAGTGCAAACATACAACAGTTGCAATTTTAATAAAAATTGATTGAAGGAATTCGAGTGGAATTTTAAAATTAAACGTATAGTCAAAGAGTGTGCACACAATTCTCACAGAAACTTTATTGACCATTTCAAAAGCATGTAAACCATTGAAATGTAATTGACGCCCAGGCTTTGTATAGTTTGATCACGAGTTCAAAATTCATTTCTAGCTCAATAGCTGCACATGACTTCAACCCTAACAGGCTTCCATCCACGTTTAATTACCCCCCTCTCGTCATCGTTCGTGTTGAAATAATAATTAATCCTGATTCTTCTATTCATGTGACATTTTCACTCCAAAAAAAAAAAAAAAAAAAATTCACTCAGATAATTTTTTTTACTTTTTTAAAAAATGCGATAAAAATATAAATATTAATTTTTGAATGAAAAAAATCGAGAAAAATATATATAAATATGTTTCTACTCGTAAGTGATTCAAGTCAGTTTCCTGTGTCACACAGTTTCAACCAATTTTAAAACCCAATGCAAGAAACTCATGAGAATACTTTCAGTAGAAAATCTTGGATTATCTGCCGTCTTAGAGGAAAGAAATCGAGTGTTGGAGTGGAAAAAAAAAGGGGTGAGGCGATCTTGAAAAGTCTTGCGGACTGAATGGCAGATACATGCGCTGAAGAAAAAGAAGAAAAAAAAAAGATAGAGAGAGAGACTTGTGGAAATTCGTATATGAGCGTTCGGAGGATCGACGTTAATCGTGATAGTGAGCTTTCCACTAAGAGCTAGCAAAGCGTCTCTGAAGAAAAACTATCTACTTTTGATCAATCTAAAAGTCCAAACGAATTAAGTTCTGAATTTGAGAAACTATTTTTTTTTTTCAAATTACATTCAAGGACAAATTTCAATTAGTTTATAAAAAAAAATCCTATTTCCAAGGGTTTTTTTTTTATCCGCCACTATATATGAAATGAAACCTTATGCCAGTGTAAAGATAATAAAATGAAAGAAGAAGAAGAAGTAAAATAAATATTACCTCTCTCTGGAGATATAAAAAACAAATTTTTTTTCAAACTTTATAATGTTTCTGTTTTTTATTCTTTTTTTTTCATCACAGTAGATTCCATACATACTCTCAAACTCGGTTGCAGGTTATACTGCCTGTGCAATAAATTTATCGAGAAAAATGTTTTCATATATATAGAATCTAAAGTTTTGGCAACAAACGTCAACTATTATTATTGTATAACGCAAATTTGCTTTACGTGTTTTCAAGCCCTTCTGTTTCCGACACTTGGGAGTTTATACGATATAACATTCTGCACTTTAAAATTTTCTAATAATATTCAACTCGACAAAATAAAATCATAATTAGAGTAATTAAAAAATTTTTTTCTATCCAACTTTTCATTTTATTTTCGTGACAAAAATAACTACTCAATAATAATAATCACAACAAACAATTTGACTAAAATGACTTTTTTTTTTTTGTTTAAGTTTAAAAAACTAATAATAAAATTTTTTCCTGTACAATTAAATTAGAATTGTATGAATAAATAAAAAATATTTTTTAAACAAATTTTCAATTTAATTTTTGTAAAAAAAAAAATTTTTTTTTTTGTTTGTTCCTCTATTTTTTATTAGAGCTTTGAATCTTTGGAATTTAAATAATATTAAATTAACTCTAACGAATTCAAATTAAACCCACTAAATAGATTATCTTTCAAACTGCTACATACAATTACAAAGTTCAAATAGCAATCAAAACATAAAATTCGTACGCTTGGAATAGCTCGATGAGACCTTTGAAGTGGGTTTCGGATTTCAATTTAATGGATAGAAATCAAATTTGAAACAATTACACACATAACTACATAAATTCCATTGAATAGACTCTAAATTTAAATCAATGAATTTCTACTGATGATAAATAAAGAAAAGTCTTTCACTATTAATCATTGAGTAAAGACTTTCGCTATTAATGACAATCAATGTAAAATTACACTGGCAATCAATTATAATTATTTATTTATTTTATCGTAAATTATAATATAATTAAGTAAAATTTATTAATGAATCATCAAATTTTTTTTTACTAATTCAGATATTACACCCAGAGAAATGTTTTATTTCAACCAAATATAATATATTTGAGTTAAATAAACGTATATATTTGACTCACAGCCTAGTAGCTCATTTAAATAAAATTTTTTATTTAAATCAAATAAAAATTTATTTGAATGAAATAAATATTTATTTGAATCAAATAAATATTTATTAAGCTATGAGACAAATATACCATTATTTCGGGTGTAATAAAAAAAATAATAACTGATAAAATTTATCATAAATAAATAAATAAAATTTTGGTTTTTTTTTTTGTTACTCCAAAAAATATTGATTCAGTTTTTGAAAATCTATTGAATGTTTATTATTAAAGAAACCTCTTTAAAAATTCTCCTTTAATGTTTTTTATTAGATTTAAGTAGTATTCGTCGCTGTCTTCACTGAGAAATCCCACAGAGGATCGTGCACATGTTACAAAAGTAATTTAAACTTGTGATCGGACTTCCCTGACTGTTAGAGTAAATCTAACTTGTACCGATGTCTATTCCATAGGCTAAACGGAATTTTCCAAACTGGACTTCTTGACACTTCATTTATCTACGATTTCTTTCTTTCTTTTTTTCCACTAATTTCAAATAAATTATTTTGCTCAATTTAAAAATATCTCATTAATTAATGTTATTTCAATCAAATTGATTTAGTTAAATAATTTAATTAGGGACGCATGATTATGTTCTAAAAATCATTAGTCATAATTTACATTTTATCGAATTTTATTTGTCCTAATTAGTTTTGAGCCGAATTTTTATTTGTTCGAAATAGCATTTGGCATAATTTACATCAAAGCGATTTTCTATATTAAAGAATTTTTATATAACGGAAAATTCAACTCACAGAATTTTTATTTGTCAGAATTTTTATTTGCTCGAATTTTCATTTAACATAATCGGCATTTTAAAGAATTTTTATTGGGTAGAATTTCATTGAATAGAATTTTCATTCAGATGAATTTTCATTTGTTCGAATTATTATTTGTTATAATTTCCATATAATCGATTTTTTATTTTACAGAATTTGTACTTAACCGAAAAATCATTTAATAGAATTTCTAATTGATAGAATTTTCATTTGTCCGAATTTTCAAATGGCCGAACAAACAATCGACAGAAAGATTTCGGCGCGATTTTTAAAATCAACCAATCACAATTTTATGAATAATTTTTGATTATCGAAATCTTTCTGTCGATTGTTTGTTCGGCCATTTAAAAATTCGGACAAATGAAAATTCTATCAATTAGAAATTCTATTAAATGATTTTTCGGTTAAGTAAAAATTCTGTAAAATGAAAAATCGATTATATGGAAATTATAACAAATAATAATTCGAACAAATGAAAATTCATCTGAATGAAAATTCTATTCAATGAAATTCTACCCAATAAAAATTCTTTAAAATGCCTATTATGTTAAATGAAAATTCGAACAAATAAAAATTCGAAGAAATAAAAATTCTGTGAGTTGAATTTTCCGTTATATAAAAATTCTTTAATATAGAAAATCGCTTTGATGTAAATTATGCCAAATGCTATTTCGAACAAATAAAAATTCGGCTCAAAACTAATTAGGACAAATAAAATTCGATAAAATGTAAATTATGACTAATGATTTTTAGAACATAATCATGCGTCCCTTTAATTAATAAATAATTATTACAATTTAATTATTAAAAACTGAAAGAAAATCTTTATCTGGAACAGCTATATGTTTCGCTAGAATAGCGAAAATTTTCGTTGTTTTAGTGAAACATATCGCTGTTCTAGCGAAACTTATTGTTGTTCTAGGTGAAGATTTTTTCTCTGAATAATTATTATAATTTAATTATTAAATAATTATTTTAATTTTAATTAATAAATAATTATAATTTAATTATTAAATAAATATTTTAATTTTAATAATTAAATAATGATTTTAATTTTAATTATTAAATAATTATTTTAATTTTACTTAATAAATATATTAATATTTTTCCACTGCGTAAATTAGTAGCTGACTTTTCGTAAATTTTGAAGACAAGCATTTCAACAATGCACTCGCTTGTAACAGTTATCATCAGAAATTAAATGTCTCGAAAGTCATTTGGTTAATTCAATCTCAGAAATTGCATCACCACCTATAACGGCAATTTTAAAACTAAAAATAAAAGTGTGCAACACATTAGAATGTTAATTAAGGGGGAAAAAAAAAAGTATTATACGGAACTAATCGAGTTTCATTGCAAAAATTTAAAATTGGACGATCCAACGGGAGTCTTTAAAATTGTAGAGAGAAAATTTACTTTTGACAATTCAATTAAACGGAGAAAATATATTTGATTACTTAGTCTCACTTATAGTCAGTTAACTTTATAAACTGTTTAATAAATGCAAATACACTGGTCTCGCTCATAAATGTTCCTAATTAAATTCTAACAGCAATTAATTTTCCAAATATTTCTTTTTATTAAATTAATTTCATCGTAACAAAAAAAAATAAACAATTTTTTTTTGTGTCAAGAGTACACTATAAAATAATATTTCCAAAGGACACTTAAAAAAGTTATATAAATTCTTGTCTCGTTAGAAACACTTTTCGTTAAAACTTTGAATTTTTTTTTTTTTTTTTTGAAGGATTCTCTCATGTTTGTTCAGTAAAAGTTAACGTATAAGAGATTAAAGTTGAACGAGAAAATTCGAGTGAATAAATGTCATTACAGTTTAACTCATCTGACGAACAAAAAAAAGGAAAAAAAAAATCAGAAAATCTTATTTTCTCTTGATAATAAAGATTTATCGATTTTATGTCATTGTAATAGAAAAAAAAATTGACGATTTGAAAGATAAAATTGATTTATATTGAACTGATGTTGATATTTCAGCAAGATCGTATAGAATGAAAAATAAATTCTCTACTTTTCTTTCATGAGGTTGCTTTTGGGTCTCGATATACTTAGTAAGATTGTAATTAAAAATTAATGATGCACTCGTATTTCTTGAAGTTTTCAATTAATCATAAAAGCTTTACCAGTACATTACCATACCCCCATTAAATTGCACGGTTTGAATTGATTTTTTTCCCTTCATTTTTATTTACAAAAAAAAAAAAATTAATATTTTCTTGCATTAAGGAAAGAAAATTTTTTTTTTTTTTTTATTATTCAGCAATAAAATGGTGTGAAAATTGAGAAACCAATCAACGAATCAGTGGGGGGAGTGAGGCAAATTAAAAAAAAAAGATGATAATATTCTAGAGACTGACAATGACTCTATCGGCATCATCTGAAAAATCAACGCAAAACAACAAAATGCTAATTGAAGAACAATCAAGTACCATCGTACGACAATCGTAACAATGTTCTCGTCATGAGGATCCTGTCCCTCGTCCTTCTAATTTGCTTTTGTCGAGGGGAGGGACGAAGATCAAAATCTTCCCTCGCCTGGAATTGGCGTACTGATACAGTTGTTGGAACATCAATGAAATCCGAATTCATCAACGATGATCAGGAGTCTTCTGATTCAATTCAAGAGGAAATACTTGACATGAAGAAATTGTCTTTGATCGAATCACAAACTGAAATTACGCCGATAAATCGAAATAATGTATTTCGACATAATAATAATAATCGACATAATCATCGTTTAGAAAATCCTGAGACACATCATTTTATCAGACATAGTGAAAATCTTCATTATCGATCAGTAACGACAATTCAACAACCAACATGGCCCGTGAAGAAGGAAGCCGTTGTCGAAGGGAATTTACTGTTAGGAGGATTGATGATGGTCCATGAGAGGGAGGATTCTATTACATGCGGTCCCATAATGCCTCAGGGCGGAATTCAAGCTCTGGAAGCAATGTTGTATACATTGGATAAGCTTAATGAGGGAGAGGGCATCATTCCAGGTGTGAAAATTGGAGCGCACATACTTGATGACTGTGACAAGGATACTTATGGCTTGGAAATGGCAGTTGATTTCATTAAAGGTATATATATATATTCACAACAATACAATAAATAAATATTTTTAGTTTATAAAAACTAAAAAAAAAGAAACCACATTTTTTTTTAAAGAAACTGTAATCAAATCTGAAAATTAAAAATGGCGGATCCAATATGGAGGACTTTTAACTTAAATATTTAATAATAATAATTAATAATTAATCAATAAATAATTACTAAATTCATTAATTTTTAATTACTAATTAAAAATTAATTAATTTAGTAATTATTTATTAAATATTAAATTATTTATTAATTACTAATTAATTTAGTAATTATTTATTAATTAATTATTAATTAATTTTAAATACAATTGAATCTAATTTAATTAGATAGCTATTAAAAATTTTTATTATTTTATTTATTTTGTTTATTATTTATAAATAAATAATCAATTTTTGTTATTAATCGTTTATTTATTTTAGGATTTATATTTCAATTTAGTTAATTTAAATTATTCCCCTTTTTAAATTAAATAATTGTCAGCAAAATTATTATCATCTTTTTTTGTCATGACCAAAAATATTAAATAATAAATTGACATAATAAATAAAAATTTGCTACTTATTAAAAAAAATAATCAATTTCTAGTTAAAAAAAAAAAACTGTTGACCCATTTTGTCAGCACGACAGATAACTTAAACCTCATGCTGTTGACAGTCTATAATGAGTTATTGGCAATTTTTAGTTAAAATAAAAATCAACTTTCATACACCGAATTTATCATCAAAAAAAGGATAACATTTTTTTCATTTTTGTACCACAAAATTTGGAGATGAAAAAATTGGTTTAGCTTTCTTAAATTTTAATTTACAATTTTAATTTATAAATATAATTTATAATTATATCTCTGGAAAATTATATCAAATAAAAGTCCTCTAAAAAATATACAGAGGAAATTATTATAAAACAAATTAATTTAAATTAAAGTAATTTAAAAAAATCCTATTTTCATTTTAAATTCAAATTAACATCGTTTTTCGAGTTATTTTTCCCCCCTCCGCAAGAGGGGAGAAAAAATTCCCTCCCTCCCCTCCGTTTCTCCTATCATCATCGACTGTGTTTCTTTTCTGGAAATAGTAGAAAGTAGATATCGCGTGTCAGTCTTCGTGAACGCTGGATGAACACGAAACATAAAAATCCGCATTGCAATCTTTTCCGTGATTTTAGAAAAGCACTCTTTTATATTGAAACCCATCAAGTGTACAATTTTTCCCCCGTAAATTTTAACATTAAAAAAAAAAAATACAACAAATTTTTTTTTTCTTTTATTTTCCAGGATATATCTATTTAAAATAATTGTTTAAACTTATATTTAAATTCATTTTTTTCTATGTTCTTTTTTTTTTTTTTTGTTTTATAAAATCAATATTTTATTATAGCTATAATAAAAGATGCTTGAATGCTTCTGGTGAAGGTATGATTAAAATAAAAAAGAAAAATGAAAAAACAAAAAAAATATATATGAAAAAAAAAATTTTTTTTTTAAAAAAACTATGCTGAAAAGGTCGATGAAAAGCTCAGAGAAGTGTGCATCATGTTGAAATACATGGGCTTCTCCAAGGGGCAATTGAAGATGGTACCACAGGGAGCTTTAGCTGCAATTTATTAACTTAGTCTTTGGGTTTTAGAAAAGATATTTTTTTTCAACTTTCCTTCTTTCTGTGCGAGCTTCTTTGTCATTTTTATTAAAATCATACTTCTTACATACATAAAAGCAACTGGGAAAATTAATTAAGTTTACCTAAACTTTAATTAGCTTTATAGAGACTACATTGTACTCTGTAATTTTTAATTATGTACCAAACATAATCATAAAAAAAAATAATAATATAAAAATAATAACAATCATAAAAATAATAATAATATAAATAATTGTACTACTAAAAAAAGGCAATACAAATATTATTATTAAGGAAAAAATTGACACACGCAAAGAAAAGAATCATACTTGGAACAGCTAAAATTGCTAAATATTTTTCTAAATATATCTACAAGTGAAAGTTAAAACTATTTCTAGTGAATACGTTCTAGGTAAATTTTTTCCGCATATATATATTTTTTTTCAAGACATGCCACCTTTTTTTAATTGTCTAACATTGTTTTTCGCAGACGACGTGACGACGACATTTAAATTGAAAAACTAAAAGTAAGAGTGAAATTGAAGTTAGACATGGCAATTTTTTTGCATTAAGAAGCATTGTTGGACCAATGGTAATTCAAATATCTATGTAGGTCATCATTATTAAAGCCAGTTGTATTTGTGCAAGTGATAATTATACCCCTTTTCGTGACAACCAATGTCGAAGGTTAAAATTGTTTCTTTCTGTACGAATAATATGTTTCGAAAAAACGCAAACTTATTTTCCCTTATAATATATGTATACAGGAATATCAAATTTCAATGTTAAATAAAAAAAAAAAAAGTGAAACTGAAAATGACTATGTGTAAGCGCGAGAAAAAGAGAATTATTTTCACTTCAGTTATTTTTATCCATTTATTACCCATTTAAAATTATCACACAGATTAATCACACTGACTTAATATCAAATTGATATTGAAAATGGATTGCTCGGAACAGTCAAATCGACACAGTTTTCCACTCACTTTTACCATGGAAAATGATTTAAAAGCCATTTCATAAATTTTACACTTCGACTCTCAAGTGAATTATCTGCTGAAAAAGAATTTTACAGAAAAATCAGCTCAACGAATTTTTAAGACGAATTCAATTAATTTTTTTCTACCACAGAAAACATGTTACATTAATACAATACAATATTTTAATAAAATATAGGTATATATTTATTAATATAATAAAATATTTTAATAAAATATTATTATATTTATTAATATGTTTGATTTGCATACTTTAAAACTAAAAGCACTCTGCATATTGCAGTTGAGAAATAATGCAAGCGTGTTTAGGAAATTCTTTTGAAACTGAAATTCCAAGGTTTAACAAGTACTCATACATGTACTACAAACTTATTGGATTTCCTGTTCAACTACAAGAGATATATATTTATATGAAATACCTCGCAAATTACCCGGGAGATTATACAGTGAGGACATGTGAATTTTGAGAGAGAGAGATAGAGATTCGTAGAGTAGGTACTTGAAAGTCATTTGAACATCTGTACGAACTGAAAATTGACAACAATGATACGCAATTATTGTGCAACTGTCCTGGACAGTTACCACATAACGAAGTTTAACTAAAGCATCTGGTGCACAAAATCGAAACTTTCACTTTATATACACCTTGGTTACTTTGAATATATATAAGTAATAAAATGAACATTCCTGATAGACGACCCTATATGGAATATTTTAACAGTAAATTTAAAAATATTCCAGGAATATTATATTATAGAAAATCTTTTAATGTTTCTTAAAATATTCCACTGAAATATTCGGAATATTCCTTACGAAATATTTCATTAATATTCCAAAAATATTGGGAATATTTCTTACGAAATATTTCATTAATATTCCAAAAATATTGGGAATATTTCTTACGAAATATTTTATTAACATTCCACTGAAATATTGGGAATATTCCTTACGAAATATTTCATTAACATTCCATTGAAATATTGGGAATATTCCTTACGAAATAGTTCATTAATATTCCTGGAATATTGGGAATATTTATTACGAAATATTTTATTAACATTCTACTGAAATATTGGGAATATTTCTTACGAAATATTTCATTAATATTCCACTAAAATATTGGGAATATTCCTTACTAAATATTTCATTAACATTCCATTGAAATATTGGGAATATTCCTTACGAAATATTTCATTAATATTCCATTGAAATTATTGGGAATATTTCTTACGAAATATTTAATTAATATTCCATTGAAATATTGGGAATATTCCATACGAAATATTTCATTAATATTCCTGGAATATTGGAAATATTCCTTACGAAATATTTCATTAATATTCCATTGAAATATTGGGAATATTCCATACGAAATATTTCATTAATATTCCACTCAAATATTGGGAATACTCCTTACGAAATATTTCATTAATATTCCTGGAATATTGGGAATATTTCTGACGAAATATTTCATTAATATTCCACTCAAATATTGGAAATATTCCTTATGAAATATTTCATTAATATTCCACTGAAATATTGGAAATATTCCATATGAAATATTACAGTAACATTTCTAAAGTATTATAAATATTCCCGAAATATTACCTATTAAATTTATAAAAAAAACTCATTTTCCTCATAATAAATTTATAATTAACAAAATAATTAAATATCTTGTTTTTGTTCAATTAAATAAATTTCTTATAATTATTTATCATGATAAATCAGATATAAAAACAAAGAAAATTCCAGTTTCCAAATTTTTCATTTCCTTCTGATTAATTATTTGTTCTCTATATATACAAGTTATTTATCTTCTCTAGCTTTGATCTAGTTTCAATGCCGCGCAGATATTGACTGTCATTCTCGGACATTTAATTAACTTGTAGCTATTGAATTTATCATTGTTAAAAATAAAATTCACCTTAACTCGGATATTTAAAAAATTCTTATTTTGCATTGACAAAATAGAAGAGAAATTATAAAAATAAAATTCACAATGATAAATAGAAAAAAAAATAGTGTTACGTATATATATATTTTTTTTTTCTATCATGAAGAACATTTTTAATACGCTTTTTACTAAGTAATTCAAGTCAGTCACCTGTCAGGCAGATTCAAGTAATTTTAAACCGCTACGAGCCAACCAAGTGAAGCGATGAAAATACCTTTATCAAGGAAAATAGTAAAACATTTTACAATTTATTTTCATAAATCTTTTTAATAATAATAATTTCAAAATGGATTTTGTATGTCATCATTATTACTTACAAATAATGATGAGAAAATCCAATTTAAAAAAATGTAATTGATTTAAAAAATCATAAAAAACTTTTTTTCTGAAACTGTTTTTAATATTAT